TATATAAATCTTATTGGATGGTGTTTTGTATACCTGTTGCTGACTCTTAGTGACCCTATAGGACAAAGTAGTACTGCCCCACAGGGTTTCAAGGCTGTAATCTTTACAGAAACAGACTTCTACATCTTTCTCCTGCAGATTGGAGGGTGAGTTCAAATCGCCTACCTTTTTGTTATCAGCCAAGCACTTAACTACCACACCTCCAGGGCTCCTTGTATTTTGTATAAACCAAAAAAACCCCCCAAACTCACTGCTGTCAAGTCAATTCAAACTCATAGCAACCCTATCTATAGGACAGAGTAGAACTGCCCCATTGATTCCAAGGCTGTAATCTTTACAGGGAAACCCTGGTGGCATAGTGGTTAAGAGTGCGGCTGCTAACCAAGAGGTCAGTAGTTCAAATCCACCAGGCGCTCCTTGGAAACCCTACGGGGCAGTTCTACTCTGTCCTACAGGGTCACTATGAGTCGGAATCGACTTCACAGCAACCGGTTTGGTTTGGTATTTTTTATTTTTTAATCTTTACAGAAACAGACTGCCACATCTTTCTCCCAAGGAACAGCTGGTAAGTTCGAACTGCCCACCTTTCATTTAGCAGCCAGTCCTTTAACCACTGTGTCACTAGGGCTCCTTAATATAGACAACTATTAATAGTATTCATACCGCATGACAGCTATTAGTCTACCTATCTGTCCCCTCCTCTTGACTGGAAGTAACTTGAGGGCAATGACTGGTGTTGATTCTGTCTCTGAACCCCCAGAGCCTAGCGAAGTACCTAGCATACAGTAGGTATTCAAAATCATATTTATGGATTAAATGAGTTAATATAAACAAATGAATGCTATCGTGTATGTTGTTGTTACCTGCCCTTGAGCTGATTTTGACTTATGGCGACCCCATGTGTTGCAGAGTACCACTACTCCATAGGGTTTTCAAGACCGTAACCTTTTGGAGGCAGATCGCCAGCCTTTCTTCAGAGGAGTTTCAGTGTGGGTTCGAACTTCCAACCTATGGGCTAGTAGTTGAGTGCTTAAGCATGTGTGCTACCCAGGAACTATACATCGAAGTTAACAGTTGTTACACAGGGAATATAGCTCCGTTAACAAGCAAGGACTAGTGGATAAAGCACTCTGCTGCTACCACGCTGAAGCAGATAATCGCAAATGTTCATTAATCTTTTTGGCTTGTCTGGATTTTTGACACTTTGCCAAACAAATGAATGAATTGGAG